AGCAGTGCCAGGGCAGGAAGGCAGAGAAATGCCTGGGGGTGGGGTGGGGTGGGGCTGGGCTAGGCTGGGCTCCTACCTCCTGCTGCGGCTCCCCCTGGATCCTACTGCCCCAGGTTCCTGTCGTCTTTGACAGGAAACTAGGAGCAGATACATATTTTCTAAATTTTTTAGGGGCCCTGCCAGCCGGATAGAATGGCCTGATGGGCCGGATCCAGCCCGCAGGCCTTATTTTGCCCACCCCTGGCCTAAGAGTTCTTAACATAAGTTATTAGCAATAGGAAAATGATGCCCTTGACAGAAAGGAGTGGAGACAAATCATGAGGACAACCAAGGACATGTTCCAGCAGAGCTAGGAAATACAAGGAGACCTGTTAATCTTATGAGCTCAGAGTCTGGAGTATAAATAGTATGTTTATTGAATACTACAGTATCAATTCCAGTTCCATTGCAGACTAGAGCACGTTTAATTGAAAGACTATGCTGGCATAGTGGGACCTCAAAGTGAGGTTCATTGTTGGTATTCTAAGGATACCATTACGTATTCAAATGCCATTTTGACCAATATCAAAGTTTCAGTGGGCACATCTACATGTTCATTAATACACCATAATTAGAGTGCATTGTTTAGTACCTGTAATGACAAGTACTAATGTAGCATGCTGTAATTTACACTACTGTGCATTAGCACAGATGAATGGGTTTTTTGTCATGCTTCTGCACATTAGACTAAATCTACTGCGCATTAGCATGGGCTTTGGCCACCATGCTAATGCACAATAGAATTAGTCTACTGCGCTAGAAGCATCTCATGTAGATGTGCCCACTGATGTGAGTAAAGTCTGTCTGTTTCAGGCCCATGTCTGTTTCAGGTCTTTGGTAAGCTCTTACTAATAACAAAATCAAGAAAAAGGTATGGGATGTGGGGAGATGTCACCAGTTAAAATTATTTTTTAAATTAAAGTTATAGTGATTTCCTAGCTCCCTTACAGACTGTTTGGTTTGATGTGCTCTAATTTTCTTCTCCATGTAAAATGTGGAGATGATCTGTTCTGTTCATTGTCATTGCTGACAGATTGATTGACCACTCTGTAAAACAGAGGAGGCATATCAAAATATAGATATTAAAGCAATCAAAATAGAGAAAGTTAATTGTTCAGTGTAAGAATATAAAGTAACCATGCAGTTGTGTTATGAACGTATTTGTGCTCTGATCAGTTGACAACCATTATTAGCCTGAGCTGAGGAGTTTTCCTTCTATGTGCTGATCAAAGAATTCAGATTCAGTGCGTGTTTGAATAGATCATTTCAACCAGTCAGGTGCAGAAGTGTGCATCTTCTTTCCAAGGATCTGTCCAGTGCCCCTTCACAGGACAGATTTAAGAGTTTCTATTCTAATATAATAAAAAATAAATAAACCTAATATCAACCAGTCTTCAAACTGGTAAGCACTTGATTATTTTGTGGGTAGTGAGGTCTTCAAATATAATAGATTTTATTAGACAGATAAAGTGTCTCATTCAAATCAGAACTGGTTGCTAGGGTATAATTCAGCTGTAAACAGTCTAGGGCAGGTACTTTGTTGAAGTTGCCAACTTCATTTCAGGTGATAAGTAATTTGTCACTTGTCCCTAGGGGACATCAGCTGAGAAATATTACTTATCAGTCTTCCTTTTCAGATTGGTTTTAGAAGAAACAAGCTTTCTTTTATATTTTTGGTACAGAAAAAGTATAATTTGTGCATATAACATTAATCTGTTTACTATAATAAGAACTTCAAAGTGCATTACAGTTAGTAATTAATTAAAATTCAACAGTGCCCTTCTACTTTGACACTTCAAATCTGCCATTGTTAAAAGACATGTTTCTTGGGTTGTTGAAAACATTTGATTTCATGTGTACCATGCAGTGCTGAGTGCTGATAATTCAGTAGCCAAGCTGAGCACCAGATTTCTAGCTATCACTTTCATTTTCCTAAAGTGCTTTTTTCTCCCTATACATTGATACTCTCTCTTATGTTCTTTTCCTCAGTTGGCAGCACATCTTCATCGCCAGCACTGTTAGGAATTAGAGAACCTCGTTCAGAATACGATAGGACACAAACTTCTATGCAGTATTACAATAACCAAGGTGATGTCATTACACATAAGGATATGTATACTGGTAAGTTACCAGCTAGACAAACTTTAATTAAAATACTTTTAAGCTGCGCCTTATTTACAGAGCCCATATTATGCATATGGAAATGCCTAATGTATCTGAATGAGAAGATTTAGTTCACATGTTCACATGTTTGTCTTAAAAATGTGAGAGAATGGGGATTTAGTGTCTAAAAAAACAGTGCTTCCTTTTAAAAAAAAGTTACTTTTGATCATAACAAACAACATTTTTATCAACCAATGCCTGTTGCAGAAAGTTCATTTTTATAGTTTTATTCATAAATCTTAGGAAAAATACACCAAGACTTCATCATCTCACTGATCTCAACCTCCCCCTCAAAAAAATATTCCATTTGCACGCCCCCCAAAGAATCTTGCACCCCATGCCAAAAAAACATTCCAAGAAGAAAAAATTGAAAAAGGAATACACAAATTCCATGTTTGAAAGCTTATTTATTTTTAAAATCCCTGATTTGACTTCAACTGCTGCTGAGGGACAAATCTTAATTGTGCTCTTATCTTTTAAACTATGAGTTCATGCTACTGTTTACTAATGATGTATGGTTTCTATGGCAGTTAATCACTGTGTTACATTACAAGTGTGGCGTCACAAACACAATGTGGTTTTCTAAGGAAATGTGAATTAAAAATATATAGTCTGAGATTTGTTTGTCCTGCTAGAATTGTTGCATATATACTTTATTTAATTTTTCATTGTACTTTTTCCAGATAAGGATTTTATTGCATTGGTAAATATCATAGTAGTCTTTAATAGAAAGTAAGCAGGGTGGGTAAAAAGAAGTAGTAATCTATTTGGGTCTCCTCTGATTATTTCATATTCTTATTTTTGTACTAATGAGTATCTATTTAAATGTTATGCATGCTGTAGATGTAACCTTGACTTATCTTTATGTGGATAAAACTGCTCATTTTCTAATTGTGCATAAAAGTGAATTAACCATAAAAATTAGCACTTATGTATCATTTTGCAGATGGAAATTTATTTGTAAATCTTTGCCAATTCATCCTCACAAAACCCCTACGAGATGGATGGGCGTAACAGGGTGCCATCTCCAGCGGCATTTTTAAAGGCCAGTGAGTGGGGCACCCTTCAAGTCCTGCTATATTTTCCTTCTCCTTTGGAGACCAGCTTCCCCCCCCTCCCCTTTGCTCATCTGCCACGACTTGATGTCACTTGGTCCTTAAAGAGGGAGGCTGACCCAAAGGTTCCCAGATGGACTCTAAGGCTCACCACCTGTAGGATAATGAGCTGTTGCCTTCAGGACAAAATGCACGCTCCAATCTTCCCTGGACATGCCCCATGCCTCGCAGATGTTTATAATTTTCTCTTTATGTTGGGCTCTCAGCCGCTGTGGGTTTACCCTGCCTCTCTCTATCTAGGCCTGTCAGTCAAAACCCACTAAGCATAGCTTGACTCCGAAGCTGTAGCTCTCTAACCCACTTGGGCTCATGGCCCTCCGTTTCATACTTTTCATGACACCAGGCCTACTGGCCCTTCTACACTACGCCTTTGTGGTGCCAGACTGTTTGGGCCTCAGCCCCCTCCGGCTTTGCCCTTCTCTCTATAGTTGGGGCTGTTCGCCTAAGTCTACCCACTAGGACCCGGCTTCAAAGCTCCTAGCTTCCCTTCAAGTGACTCTTGGCTTGTGGCCCTAGTGCTTCACCCCTAATGCGGTAGGGCTTCTTGACCCCTCTATCACACTGCTCCTCGGAGCTATTGAGACCTCCTCCTCCACTACAGCCTCAGCCACAAACCACTGACCTTAACATTAAATGTAAACAATAGGCCCCTGTGGCCATATAAAGAAAATAAAGGTAAGAGAGGCAAACTGCCTGCTTACATGCGATTGGGCTTCTGTCTCCCAGTTTGTCGCATTCTTCCTGAGGAGGTTGCCATAGCTTTTCCATAGTCATCAGGAGTCCCCATTTCTGCTGCCCCCGTCCTTCTCCACCTAGGGTTTATATGGTTCTGGCCTTTCCCTTCCAGTCACCTGACCAGCCAGTAGGGCTCGATCCTTAACCCCTGCTCAACTGGACAAATACACCTGGAAAGTTCTGGATTTAAAGGGGCCACCCTGCTTCCTTGTAACAGGGCTAGTGTTCCCTGTTAAAATGGGATATCAACATATTTCTGCATTGAAAATCATAGGTATAATATAATTTTAGATGATCTGTGAAAAGCCACAGGTGGAGTTAGCATCAGAGTAAGAACTAGAATTGAACAATAATGGCTTAAAAACTTGCCCTAAAGTTTTTTCTCATTTGCCTTGTTATAACCAATACTAACACTTTAGTGGTTCTGTCCTGGTATTCTGACTTAGGCAATTAACAGCTGTTCATTTGTAGTGTTACAGGGGTGTATAGGTGTTTCAGCCTCCTGGCCGAATATGTATACCAATATTGTGTGCATTCCACCTAAGTATTATACGTAAGGAAAGCCTTGACCTAAATGCCATGGAAATTAATGGGAAGGAAGAAATGTAACATTCCTTTTAGGTTATGTTTAGAACAGCGTGCCAGGTGAATAATTTAGGTATTATCATTAATATTTTGAAAGTAAGACATTGTAGACAGATAGTATCAGGCCCTGGAAAACATCAGTGGCTAGATAGTAGGCCTGTGTGAATGGGAAGTATTCGATTCAGATTCAGCCAATTCAAAGGACAGTGATTTGATTCAGAGATTTGGATCACTGTCTTGAATCAATTCAGCTGATTCAGAAGATTCAGTGCTGATTCGGAGAGATTTGGTGATTCAGATTAGCCGGGGAGAGGCAGGCACAGCTGATCAGCTTCTCCAGCTGTGCCTGCCTCTCGCCAGGCAGAGAGAGCCACGGGAGAAGCCTCCCGTGACTGTCGTGGTCAGCCCCAGCCTAGTCCCAGCACTTTAAAAAAAATGCCCTGCGCTCACCAGATGCAGCAGCAGCAATTGGGGCCTCTGGGTACTCGTGGCAGAGCCCCCCCCCATGCAGCACAAGGCAGTGGGGGGGGCAGTGGGCATTGCCCCCCTACCCCGCCTGGCACCCACACGGCAGCTGCCCAATGGCACGGTTGTAGTGCGGCTCCACAGAGTGCTGCACACTGTCTGGGAGCTGGGGCTGAGTGGTGTCGGGCTCCAAGTAAACCACTCCAGCTCCGAGACAGTGCACAGTGCCCTGCTGAGCCACGCTGCACCTACACCATGGGGCAGCTGCTGCACAGCTGCCAAGCAGGGGGGAGCAATCCCCACTGCCCCGTGCTGCATGGGGGGCTCTGCCACTAGCACCCAGAGGCCGCAATCGCTGCTGCAGCAGCCAGTGAGTGTGGATCTTTTTGTTTTTTTTAAAGCTCCGCACTCACTGGATGCAGCAGTGGTGATTGGGGCCTCTGGGCACTTGTGGCACAGCCCCCCCTGCGCAGCGCCAGGGTAGTGGGGGGCAGAGGGGATTGCACCCCACCGCCTGGCACCCACACAGCAGCTGTCACATCGCACGGGTGCAGTGTGGCTCAGCAGGGTGCTGCGCGCTGTCTGGGAGCTGAGGCTGAGCAGTGCCAGACTCCGGCTCACACATGGAACCACCCCAGCTCCCAGACTGTGTGCAGTACACCGCCAAACCATGCTGCGCCCATGCAATGCGATAGCTGCTGTGCAGGTGCCAGGTGGGGGGGCATTCCCCGCTACCCACCACTGCCCCGTGCTGTGCAGGGGGACTCTGCCACAAGCACCCAGAGGCCCCAATCCCTGCTGCCGGAGCTGGTGAGTTCGGGGCTTTTTTTTTGGTTTTCTCTTTTTTCTTTTTTTTAAGTGCCAGGAGGCTGGACCGGGCAAGGCAGCCATGGGAGCTTTTCCCATGGCTCCTCCAGCTGTGCCTGCCTCTGCCTCTGCCTCTGCCTCTGCCTCAGTGGGGGAAGCCATGGGGGCTATGCCCTGCTGCTGCTTGCCCAGCTGGTGTTGGGGGGTGCAATGCAGGCACAGCTCACTCTGGGCAGCAGCAGGGCAGAGCCCCCACTGCCAGTGCTGCTGCATGCACATCAGCACTGAGAGCAGGGGTTTGCCCTGCCACTGCATGCCAGCCAGTGCAGGAGGGCTCAGGATGCAGGTGCAGCAGCACTGGGAGTGGGGGCTATGCCCTGCTGCTGCTTGCCCCCTTCTGCCTGGAGCGAGCTGTGCCTGCATCCTGTCCCCCTCAACCCAGCTGGGCAAGCGGCAGCAAGGCATAGCCCCTGCTACCAGCGCTGCTGCAGCCACATCAGCACTGGGAGCAAGAGCTCTGCCCTGCTGTCGCTTGCCAGCCAGTGCAGGAGGGTGCAGGATGCGGGTGCAGCAGCACTGGGAGTGGGGGCCATGCCCTGCTGCCACTTGCCCCCTTCTGCCTGGAGTAAGCTCTACCTGCATCCCGCCCCCCGTCATCCCAGCTAGGCAAGCGGCAGCAGATCAGAGCCTCCACTCCCAGCACTGCCACACCCGCATTCTGTGCCCCCCTGTTCCCCACCCCCAAGTAACGT